CCATATTTTCTCTAAGACATGTCTGTTCTTTTGACAGTCCATGGAATAGTCTGTACTCTTCTCCAACCCCACAACTCAAAGACTTCATTTCTTTGTCAATAAAATCTTGTGGTTCATAAAAAAAAAAAAAAGACTTCATTTCTTTTTTCTTTCATCCTTATTCATTGTCCCGTTCTCAGAGACACAGCAAACAGTTGAAAAGACCATAGCCTGAATCAGATGCTCCTTGGTCTTCAAGCTGACATCGTTGCTCCTCTGTAAATTGGAGAGGCCCCTGAGTGCAGACTTTGCCAATGCAATATGTCCTGATAGACTGTGCTTCAGTCACACCTGCTTTTGAAATGGATCCTGATTTCAAAACCTGAAATGATGCTTCCTCAGGAAACCTGTGGTCAATCTCTGTTAAGTTCTGTTTCGTGTAGAGAGCCAGCCCTTCCTACTCAGTCAGTGATTTGGGGTTAAGAGTTCCAGGAGGACTCGTGGTTTAGAAAACAAGTTTCAGAACTGGGCTTAGGTTAGAATTCTAACTCTGCATCGCAGGAGTTGTGGTTAAGAACCAGGAACTGGGTTGGGTTCTTTTTTTTTCTATAATTATATTTTATTAATTTTCATAAACATTTACAGAGATTTTGGGTTTCCATTCATTCATTGTTGCACTATTCTCTCTACCCTCCTCCCAGTTTGTTCTTGTCCAAAGGGAGTGTTTCTTCTGTTTCTATATTTTGAAACAACTTAAGTAGAACTGGTATTACATCTTCCCTGAATATTTGGTAAAATTAGGCTGTGAAGCCATTTGGGCCAGGACTTTTTTTGTGGGGGAGTCTTTTTATGACCTGTTCAATTTCTTCTTTTGTGATGGATCTATTCAAGTGTTCTACATCTGATTGTGTCAATCTGGGTAAGTCATGAGTTTCAAGGAATTTGTTCATTTTCTCCAAGTTTTCAAATTTATCAAAGTATAGGTTTTAATAATATTCCAATATTATAGATTTCATCTCCTCTGGTTCTGTTGTGGTATCACCTCCATCATTCCTTAATTGGGTTATTTATGTCTTCTTTTTTCTTTTGTTAAGTTTGCCAATGGTTTGTCAATTTTACTGATCTTTTTGAAAAACCAGCTCCTGATCTTATTCATGGTTTCAATTGTTTTTCTGCTTTCTATCTAATTTCTTTCTGATTTCGACTCTTATTCTTATAATTTCCTTTTTTCTAGAAGCTATTGGGTTTGATGTCCTTTTTCTATTTGATGAAGGTGTTGAATTAGATCATTCATTTTGCTTCTTTCTTTGTTCTTTATGAGTATGCCTATTGCTATGAACTGGCCCCTGAGGATTGCCTTAGCTGCATACCAGTGGTTTTAGTATGTTAAGTTTTCATTATTATTGGTTTCAAGGAACTTTTTAATTTTATTCTTTATTTTTTCTATAACCCAATAGTGTTCAAGCAAAGTGTTATTTAGCTTCCACATTGATGGCTTTATAAGCTTTATCCTCTTGTGATTAATTTCTAGTTTTATGGGATTGTGGTTTGAGTAAATATATTATTTCAATGTTTTTTATTTTGTTGAGGCTTACTTTACACCCTAATATATGATCAGTTCTGAAGAATATACCATGTGCACTTGAGAGGAAAGAGAATTGAGTTTTAATTGGATGCAGTGCAAATATATCCACAAGTTTGAGTTGGCTGACTGTGTAGTTTAATTCTTCTGCATCTTTGTTAAGTTTCTTTTTTAATTGACTTATCTTTTTGCAAGAGTCGTGTGTTAAAGTCTCCTCCTACTATTGTGGTGCTATTTCTTTCTTCAGTTCTGTTAATTATTGTTATATGCATTTAGTAGGCCTATTATTTGGTGCATAGATGTTGACCAATGTTATGTCCTATTGATCTACTGTGCCTTTGATAACTATATAATGTCCTTCCTTATATTTTATGGTGATTTTCATTCTGAAGTCTATTTTATCAGAGATTAGTATTGCCACACCTGCTTTTCTGTGGATGCCATTTGCTTGATAAATTTTTCCCCCCAGCCTTTGGTTTTAAGTCTATCTTCCTCTTCATTTATTAAATGTGTCTCTTGTAGACAACATATTGATGGGTTTTGCTTTTTTATCCATTCTGCTACTCTTTTCTCTTGATTGGTGCATAAAGTCTATTCATGATAAGTGTGATTACTGACAAGCCAGGTTTTATTATTTCCATTTTGCTGTGTTTCTTGTTACTATGGTCCATCAGCTTTCCTTTGTTGTCTCTGTGTATAGGAATTCCCTTAAAAGTTCTTGTAGGTTTGGTCTTGTTTTCACAAATTCCTTAATTTTTTCCTTTTCTGTAAAGAATGCAGTTTCTCCTTCATGTTTGAAGGAGAGCTTCTCTGGGTACATGATCCTGTGTTGGCAGTCATTTTCCTTCTACTTACTGTATATGCCATCCCATTGTCTTCTTGTTCCCAATGATTTCTGCTGAAAAAGTAGAATTTAATCTGATGGCTTTTCTTTTGTAGGTGACTCTGATTTTTCTCATGCTGCTTTCAGTATTTTATCCCTATCTTTTATTTTGGAGAATTTGACTGTTATATGTCTTGGTGTTTTTCTTTTTTGGGCCTAGTCCATTTGGGGTTTGCTGATCTTCCTGAATGTGAATTTCCTTTTTCTTCATAATATATGGGAAGGTTTTTTTTTTTTAGTACCTCTTCCACAATGTTCTCTGTGATTTCCCTATTCTCATAGTCAGGAATTCCAATCATATGTATGGTATTCCTTTTGATGTCATCTCACATAATTCTAATATTTTATTCATTTTCTTTATGTCTCATTTCTGATTTTTCTTCTAGTGTGTGTACATTGAGGTTCTTGTTTTCCAGCTCACTGACTCACTGCTTCATCTCTTCCATTCTACTTTTTTTTTGTCTTTCCAATATGTTGGACACTTCTTCTATTTCAGTCTTAATGTTCTGGATTGCATTTGTATGCCTTTCTGCTATTTCTAATACGTGTAGGCAGTACCCTCTCTATCTTGTGACTATTTTTTTAAGTTCTTGTTTCTCTATTGTTTCAATTTTTTCTTCCATTTTCTGAATTTTCTTTCATATTTGTGCAAGTTCCTCCTCATCAATATATTTCTTCTGGCTCCTGTCTCTGGAGCATTTGCTTTCTTGTTGGTTTCCATTGCTTTATCATTTGCACCTTCTTCCGTAACATTTCAAATAACTCTTCATCAACATATTTTTTCTAGTTCTCTATCCCTAGGTTATTTCCTTTATCTGTCGTTTCCATTGTTTCTTCATTCATTTGCATTTTTATTGGTAGCTGTTCGGAGGTTTCCATATCAACATATATCATCTGCCTTCTTGACTCTGGGGTATTCCTGAGGTCTCTGATATTCTCTGGTGCTGTTTGTTTGTTTGGGGGGCATGGTTTGAGAAGGCTTAATTTGTTTTTTTCATGGTGTTTGAAGCTGCCTGTTGTTTTCTTGACAGTATGTGAAGTTTTTTCTTGATAAGTGTTAGCTTGTTTTTATTGTGTCCATGAAAGTTGGTGGTGGTTCCTGCTAAAATGTGGTGAGGTACTCACTCCACTCTAAGTTCCTTCAGGGAAAATTTGCCTTTCTTAAAGTCCTTGAGGTTCTCTCTGTTCTAGACTGCAGCCCTGTAGGAATATTGCCCTGAAGTAATCCCTTGACATGAGCTCTATAGGCCTCCTTCATATATGAAGTGGATAAGTGGTGTGAAACCAGCTGCTTTACTGAAGCAATTTCTTATGTACCTTTTCTCCTGGAGCTTAATGTCTTCTTTTGTCTCTGGAGTGCCAGGAGATTAGAGACAGGGCTGCTGGCTCAAGCAGCTTGCATGCAGAGGGTTTCAAGTCAGCCCTCCCTCTTTCTCTTAAAGAGGTACAAAAATCCCTTCTCTCTGCCTGATGTTCTGTGTACAAAAGTTATTTTGTCCTGTCTGGCCCCTGGTATGGCCCTGCAGCCTCAGAGGCAAGGACTCCCAGGTAGAGGTATATCTATAACCCAAGGGATGCCTCAGTCCTGTCTCCCCATACACAATGGGGAGTGTTCATTCTCAGCAGAGAGCTCCCATGTCTCCTGACCTTTTTTTCTACAGCTTGGTGTGCTTCTCTGTCTCTGATGTGGTGGGAGATCAGACCCCTGCCTGGCTACCTGTATGCAGAAGCTTGTGGGTCAAACCTGTGTTGCAGGGAGCCAAGAAAATTCTTTCTTGTGTGCAAAGTTTTGCACACTAAAGTCTCTTGTCATGCTTGGGCTCTGGGATGGCCCTACAGCTGCAGAGGCAAGGACCCCCAGATGGAGGTATCTACAACCCCAGGGATGCCTTTGTCCTATCTCCCCACAGGCAATGAGGAGTGTTCCTTGCTGTTATTTCTTTTTAGAAGACTTCAAGATTAATAAATTGGTAAAGCACTTAAATTTCCTGGAAATAACATATTGGTAGTATAGAAGACCTTTATGAAGAGCTTCTAGGTTTTTTATTTTGAACCCCTATTACTGTTTTACTCACATAAGACTTCAGAGTGGTAAACTGGTGTATACCAGTCTCAGTTAATGTTATAGAAGAGAATTTAACAACGACAACAACGAAACCAGTCTAGAATTTGCACTCTTTCAATACCTGAAATTATAAACTGTCTTGAGTGGTTTACCTTTAATATTTGGTTACTTTTTAAAATCAATACTTCAAATATAGTCATTTAAGTCACATAAGTTCATGTTAACAACATATAATTAGTTTTAGACCCCAGTAAGCTTCAATTTGTAGCCTGAAGGAAAATAAGTTTATGTTTGTTATTCCTTAACTGTATAAGAATAAAAAAATCACTGTCAAAGGATTTCCATACAGAGAAACAAGATTTAAACTGATCAAAGCATCAAGGAAAAATAGATTGTGTACCTTATACATTCTGAGAAATAGATAGCTCCATGTCTTTCTCTTAACTCCCAGTGATTGCTGACACTTGTTACTTACTTGCTTTTTTTCAGAGGTATCTTCATACACCAGCTTTGAATGTGTGTGTGTCTGCCTGTTTGTCTGTTTGTCTGTCTCCAAGACTGTCTCCTTCTTTAATAAGAGGAAAGCCATATAGGATCAGAGCCTACCCTACCCCGATTTGACCTTGTTACTTAATCATATATTCAAAGAAAGAGTTTATGTTCCCAAAACAAGGTTACACTCACAGGTACAGGAGTCAGGAGTTCAGTATACCTTTTTGAGAGAACAAAATGTAGTTCTTCACACTAGGAAAGATGCAAGGTTGTTTATTGTTGAACCCCAATTACTGTTTTACTCACATAAGACTTCTGAGTGGTAAATTGGTGTATACTAGTCTCAGCGAATATTATAGAAGAATTTTTGTAAATCAGTCTAGAATTTACAACCTTTCAAGCCCTAAAATTTCAAACTATCCTTATTGTAAAATAAGTGAAAGATGAAAGGAATAATTTGAGTTAAAACAGAGTTAAGATTATTCTACATCTTGCTTGGTTAATTAGTGACTGGGATCTTAAAAGCTTCAAGTTATAGTTATTGTCAAGTCTCTATTTGGAGCAAAGAAATATGGAAAAAATAAAATTAGTAAAAAAAAAAATCCAATAAATTGTTAGTCCAAAGCAGGAGTGGCATCCACTTCCTAAACAACATGCCTCCAGAAACTATGAACTTTGATGAATGCTGATAGTTGTAGAGGGGCGTCAGGCCTTTTGTTCATTGCATCGCTATGAGTCGTGCTCAATTTGAAGGCAATCAAGAACAACAACAAGAAGGACTAATGAACCACATGACCTTCACTTTCCCTGAGACCAGATGAACTAAATGCTGTGAAGCTACAACTACCGACCGTTCTCAAAAGGATCATGATAGACAATCCCTAATAGTTGTTATTGTTGTTGTTATTATGTACTCTTGAGTTGGAATCAACTCATTGCCCTCCAGTGGGTTTTCAGAGGTTACAACTGGCATAGGAGGAGATTGTCCTTCACTTTCTAGAAGAGCAGATGGATTTGAACCTTATAGCTTTGGGTTGGCAGTGCAACTCCTTACCACAAGGCCATCAGAGCTCCCTAAAAGAGTGAAAGAAAAAGGTGGAGCAAAACTTAAAATCATAAATTATACTTTTTGATAGAGGATTACTTGTTAGTAGAGACTTGTGGAACCCTTTAAACTCTGGTCTTTAGACACCCTTCAAGTCTAGACTGAAGTTTTCCCTGTGACTCAACCTCCAGCCAAACAATACAAACTTGTAATTATGGTCAAATTACATATTTCTTAGAAAAATCATTGTGAAAAAATTAAAAGGTCAGCATTTACACAGGAATAAAGCTTAGTGGACAGGAAGAGAAGGAAAAATATGAATGGAAAATGGAAATACAAGGAGGAAGTGGAAAGAGTACTATTATTATACAGAGATTCAAGTCAATGTCACAAAATATTTATAAATTATTAAATGGAAAACCAACGTTTTCTATAAATTTTGACTCAAATAACAATAAAGGGGTTTTGGTGTTTTTTAAATTTTTTATTATTATTTTATTATGGGGTGTATGTGTGTGTGTGTGTGTGTGTACCATCAAATCGGATCTGACTGGTATAGGAGGAGATTGTATCTCCTTTTCCCGGCAGAGCATCTGGTGGATTTGAACCATGCGCCTCGGGGATTATAGTGCAGCTTCTTGCCACTAGGCCACCAGAGCTCCCCTGGGTTCTTGGTGTTTTTTTTTTAAAAAAAGACATCCTTAATAATATTTCCTAGTGTCCCAATGAATGAATAAAAATTCAAAGTCTGTAAATTTTCATTGAAATTAATGATTTTTTAAAAAGTCAACAAAGACAAGATTAAATAGAAAAATAATAATATTTTCTATAGTAAATTCTTTGCTCAAAGCAAAGAATACTAGAAAAATGTGTTCTATTGATTATGCAAATGTATTTGACTGTGTGGATCATAACAAACTTTGGCTAACATTGAGAAGAATGGGAATCCCAGAACACTTAACCATGCTGATAAAAAAACAGTAAACTTTTCACTCCAGACTTAAGAACAATAAATGACATAGTTGAGCCTCTTTATCTTGTGGTTCCTAACCTTTATACTGTAATAGACAAAGTGCTAGTCAATAGGCCTTTTATTGTAAGAACT